GAGCGGGAAAGTTGACGTTTTGGGTTAGGTCATTTCTGAAGAAGGGTCCCGACCCAAAACGTCAACTTTCCCGCTCCTCTGATGCTGCCTGACCTGCTGTGTTCCTCCAGCTCCAAGTGAGTTTTCCTCGATTCCCACTGACTCCAGTTTTGCCAGAGCTCCTTGATACTCAGTCAAATGCTGCCAAGGGCAGTCAGCCTTGCCTCACCTCTGGGTTTTCCAGGTTTTTACAAAGGCTGCAATGAGGTCAGGAGCATCAGTGAGCAGGTTAGTTCTGAGGGAGTACCACTTGATAGCACTCTTGATAACATCTTCTATCACTTGACAGATGATAGCTGTAATGTGGAGGTGCCAGTGTTGGACTGCAGTGGACACAGTCAGAAGTCACACAACACCAGGTTATAGTCAGGTGAAGTGATGAAGAAGCAGCACTCTAAAAGCTTGTGATTTCAAATAAACATGTTGGACTATAACCTGGTATCATGTGACTTCTGACTTTACTGATGATAGAGAATAGATTGACAGGATGGTAATTGGTTGGGTTGGAGTTGTCCTGCTTTCTGTCACTGAACACGTTTAGGCAATTTTCTACATTGTCAGGTAGATGCCAATATTGTAGCTGTATTGTAACAGCTTAGCTAGGGTGCAGTTAATTCTGGAAAAGATTACTTCAGTACTATTACCAGAACGTTGTCAAGGCCCATGGCTTTTGTAGTATCTAGTATCTTCAGTGTTTCTTGAAATAACTTGGAGTGAAATGATTTGACAAAAGACTAGCATAATTGATGCTATGGAACTCCAGAACAGACCGAGATGGATCGTCCACTTGGCACTTCTCATTTAAGTTGTACAGAAACACTTCAGCTTGTCATATAGAGAATATTTCTACCTTTACAGCATATTCCCCACATTCAGTGTAAGCACAAAAGTTATTTTTTCAGGGGAGCTCAAGAAAAAAAGAAGTTTAAAGGCTTACCAATGTTTCTGTAGTAGATAGGCACAAAAACATTAATGACTCGTTCTGTTGCAAGGAGACACAAGCATAACAGGACCAGGATCTGCAGCAATAAACTCCCTTTCGGCCACATGTAGGGCACAAGCAACTGCACCTTTTTACGGAAGTCTTTCCAAGTTGACTGACTGGTGCCATTCTGATTCAAGAGAGGCTAGAAAGAAAAGCAAAATAGGTCAGAGGCCGAGTATCAAAAAATTTAAAATAAACACTCCAACTTTTGTTCAGACACCAGTTTTATAAACAGTGGTTTTAATCTCCTTGTCCATGGAATAATGAGTCCAAGAGAGATGTAATGGTTCACAAGATTGTTTCCTGAATGAGATGGTGGTTCTGTAAAAGGAGATATTGGGCAGAAAGTGTCTCTTTCCACTAGAGAGTTTAGAAAAGTGAAAAGTAATGACACTGGAGTAAAATTATATGTGCGCTCGCATGGTATGTGCTGAGAGGCTGTGTACTCTGGCTAAAGAGTTGAGGAGTTGGGGGTCATCATTTTATAGTAAAGGGTAGACATTTAAGACCGAGAATGAAGCAGGGATTTGTTCACGAAGAGACTTGTGAACCGTTGGGATTTTCCGCCCTAGACAGTTGTAGATATTCAGTCTTCAATACGTGTATATTCAAAGCAGAGACAAATCTGTATATTCCACCCAACTAAAAGCAGGTGTGTAGTTTGAGGTAAGGCCTTAACTGTGCATGTTATTGCAATGCAGTCTCAACAAAACTTTACACAACTACAGCAGAATGTTTTTGCTCTTACATGCCAACATCTTTCATCATTTAAAGATATTCTATTCTTCTCAAACTGGATAATTTCATGTTTAGCCACATTATGCAGCACCTGTAAATCAGGGGTGCCAGCATACATCCTGTGAAACACCACTTCCCACCTCCTGCCACTCTGAATAATTACCCTTCACTCTAACTCTCTTAAAATCCGTTGGCCATCCATTCTTGTAGCTTTTAAAGAAGAATGTATGCCCATTCTAAACTAAGCCCATCTGCCTGCTCATGGTCCATATCCCTCTATTCCTTGCTTGTTCACGCGTGTGTCGACATGCCTCTTAAATGTTGCTACCGTATCTGCTTCTACCACCTCCCCTGGCAGTGCATTTCAGCTACCTACCACTATCTGTGTAAAAAACTTGCCTCGCCTTTTAACTTTCCCTGTCACCTTAAACCTAGTGTTTGACATTTCTATCCTGGGAAAAAGACTTGGCTACCCCTCCCTATCCATGCCTCTCATAATTTTATATACTTCGATCAGGTCACCCCTTAGCCTTTGGCGCTCCAGTGAAAACCCCTCCTTATAGGGAATACACTCCAACCCAGGCAATGTGAGAGGTGATGGCCTAGTGGTATTATCACCGGACTGTTAGTCCAGAGACCCAGGTAATGTTCTGGCAACACAGGTTCAAATCCTGCCATGGCAGATGATGAGATTTGAATTCAAAAAAAACATCTGGAATCAAGAATATAATGATGGATGTGAAACCATTGTCAATTGTCAGGAAAAGCCCATCTGGTTCACTAATGTCCTTTAGGGTGGGAAACTACCATTGATACCTGGTTTGGCCTACGTATGACTCCAAACCCACTGCAATGTGGTTGACTCTTAACTGGCCTCTGGGCAATAAATGCTGGCTCAGCCAGCGATGCCCTCATCCCATGAATGAATAAATAAAAAAAAAAAGAATCCTGGTAAACTTCTTTTGCACCCTCTCCAAAGCCTCTACATCATTCCAATGCTGCGGCAACCAGAACTGCACACAACACTCCTAATGTGGCCTGACTAAGAGTTATATACAACTTCAACATGACTTGCCAACTTTTAAACTCAATGCCCCGACCAACGAAGGCAAGCATGCAGTACGCCTTCTTTACCACCTTATCCACTTGTGTTGTTAGTTTCAGGAAGCTATAGACTTGCACCCTACCCAGATCCCTCTGTATATCAATGCTCTTAAAAGGGTCCTGCCATTTACTATACTTTTGACCTCCCAAAATGCAGCACCTCACACTTGTCTGGATTAAACTCCACTAGTTATTTCTCTGCCCAATTTTTCAACTGATCTATATCCTGCTGTATCCTTTGACAACTTTCCTCACTATCTGCAACTCCACCAAATGTATATGATCTGCAAACTTACTTATCAGACAACCCACATTTTCATCCAAATCATTTAATATATGTGACAAATAACAGAGGTCCCACTGGTCACAGACCTCCAGTCAGAAAAGCACAATATCCTCTGCATTCTATGACCAAGTTAATTTTGTAATCAACTTACCAATTCAGCATGGATCCCATGAGGGACCTTACCGAATGCTTTAGTAAAGTCCATGTAGGCAACTCTCACTGTCCTACCCTCAATCATCTTAAATCACTTACCCAAACAAAAAATCTCAAATCAAGTTTGCATAACAAGACCTCCCTTGCATAAAGCCATGCTGATTATCCCTTCTAAGTCTAGCCTTTTCCAAATGTGAGTAAATCTTGTTTCTGAGAATATTCTCCAATAATTTCCCTGCCACTGATGTAAGGCTCACCCCTGCTACTTAGTTCCTGGATTATCCCTGTTGCCCCTCATAAACAAAAGGAACAACAATGGCTATTCTCCTATCTTTGGGACCTCGCGTGTGGCTAAAGTGGATACAAAGATCTCTGTCAAGACCCCAGCAATCTCTTCCCTTGCCTCCCTCAGTATCCTGGCTTAGATCCCATCAGGTCCTGGGGACTTACCTACTTTAAGGTTTTTTCAAGACACCCAATACTGCCTCATTCTTAATATTGGCATGCCCTAGAAACTTAACACAGCACTCCCTAATCCTCCTGTAGCCATATCAAAGTCCTATATACCCTCTTGCTCCTAAAACATGCATAAAATGCCTTGGGATTCTCCTTAATCCAACTTGACAAGGACATTTCATGGCCTCTTTTAGCCCTCCTAATCCTTGTTTAAGTTCTATTCTGCTTCCTTTACATTCCTCAAAGGCCTTGTCTGACTTCAGTCTCCTTAACCTTACATATGCTTCCTTTTACTTTTTGACCAAACTTTCAGTATCTCATCATCCAGAGCTCCTGAATCTTGCTATCCTTATTTTTCAACTTTACCGGAACATGCTGGTTCTGAACTCTGATCACCTGGCCTTTAAAAGACTCCCAAATACCAGGTATGGAATTACCTTCAAACAGCATGCCCCACAATCTAATTTCTCCAGTTCCTGCTTAATACTATTGTAATTAGCCTTCCCCCAAATTAGCACTTTCACCAGTCTTATCCTTATCCATAATTATTTTAAATTTACAGAATTACGATCACTGTTTCTAAAATGCTCCACTGTTGAAACTTTGATCACCTGGCAAGGCTCATTCCCTAATACAAGGACTATTACAGCCCCTTCTCTAGTTGGTCTATCTACACATTGTTTCAAGAAACCCTCTTGGAAGCATCTAACAAATTCTGTCCCTTGGCACTAAGGGAGTCCATATTGATACTGGGAAAGTTAAAACCACACGTTAAAATAATCCTGTTGTCTTAACATATTTCCATGATGTGCCTACATATCTGTTCCTCTATCTAGCTTTTGGGAGGCCTAGAGCATAACATCATCATAGTTATTGCACTTTCTTATTCCTAATTTCTACCCTATAGCCTTGCTGGATGAACCCTCCAAGATGTCTTCTCAGTGCAGCTGTGACCAACTCTTTAATCAGTAATGCAACTCCCCCACCGGTTTTACATCCCTCCCTATCATGTCTGAAACATCTAAACATTGGAACGTTGAGTTGCCAATCCTGTCCTTCCCTCAAACAAGTTCCTGTAATGGCAACAACATTGTAGTCCCATGTGCTAATCCAGGTTCTAAACTCATCTACCTGTACCTGTAATACTCCTTGCATTGAAATAAATACACTGGAACCACCAGTCCGACTGTGCTCATTAACCTGGCCCTGTCTATTCTTCCCAAAAGACTTACTTGACTTAACCGCTACCTTCTCCTCAAATCACTGCACATGCTGACCGACTTCTCTGGTTCCCATCCCTCGCCACTCTAGTTTAAACCTTCCTGAGTGGCACTAGCAAACCTCCCTAGCGAAGATACTGGTGCCCTTCCAGTTTTGGGAAATCTGTCTTTCTTGTACAGATCCCTCCTGCCCTGGAAGAGATCCCAACGATCCAGATATCTGAAGCCCTCTCTCTGCATAATCACCCTATTTCCACCTTCACTAATACATAGCACAGGGAGTAATTCCGAGATTACAACTCCTGTTTTTCAACGTCTGACCCAATTCCCTGAAGTCCCTTTGCAGGGCCTTGTCTCTCTTTTGCCTATGTCGTCAGTGCCAATGTGGGCCATGACCTCTAGTTGCTCCCCCTCCCCTTTCAGTATGTTCTTGACCCTGGGACCAGGGAAGCAACATACCATCCTGGAGTATCACTTGTGACCACAAATCCATGCCCCATCACTACTGCTCACCTACACTTCGGCCCTCCCTGCTGTACAGCACAGCCAGTCATGGTGCCACTGATCTGGCTGCTGCTGATGCTTTCCCTGGAGAGGCCACCACCCCTCAACAGTATGCAGAATGGTATACTTGTTTGAGAGGGGATTCCAGCACTGCCTGCCCGCCCCTCCTGGCAGTCATTCATTTATTTGGCTTAACTTTTGGTGTGACCACAACCCTATCCATAAAACTTTCTGCCTCTTGTACGTTCCTCACTGAGACAAATTGCTATTCTAACTGATCCATATGGTCTGACAGGAGCTGCAGGTGGACGTGGTTCCTGCAGACTTAGTTGTGAGGGATATTTGACTTTTCTCCAATCTCTCACAACTCACAGCAGGAGCATTCCCCTCCATTAATAGCATATTTACCTCTCCAGCAGCTTCTGAAATAAAGAAAAGGAAAGACCTTACCTTGTATGTAGGACTGATATCCTGTGAATAATATTGTTGAGAACTAGGTTAAATCTAGCCCATATCAAAGTTTTTTGCTTTGTCTTATTCTTCATCTCTTGCAATGTGTGGAATTCCTTTGATGGCAGCCAAACTATAGGTGATCAATCATTGTGACATTTTTGACTGCCAATCTTGGATTCCAAATTATCTGGGAAAGATTCATTTTCACCTCAGTAAAGTCTGCCCTCC